TTCTTTAAATTAATACCTAGAGAATAAGTTACAGACATGAAAATGCTATTTATCAGATTTCTAGCCTATGTATAAGCAAAAAAAAAACAAATTAAATTTCCCCAAAACCAAACCATCTTCTTTCGCTAAACTGACATCAGCAATTATATGTGTTATTATTTAGATTTATTTCGAAAGCAGACACTGATATAGCTTTAAGTGTAATTATGACAGAGTGTGTGTGTGCGTATTGTCTGACATACCAACCAACACCAGCAATGGCAAAAAAAATAAAAATATCTGTTTTCAGGGAACACTCATAAATAAAAGCCTCTAAGCCCCATGGCTGCTGCTCACCTTGCTTATTTGGTAAATCTGTATACAAAATGTCACTGAAAGCAGGTAGTGTCCGACGTGTTGATTATTCTGGCTTGAAAAAATATGTATCGTTGACAAGAGAGACAGCATTTTGAGGTTACCAGCCATAGGCAAGTGTGTGTACGTGTGTGTACGTGTGTGTGTGTGTGTGTGTGTGTGTGTGTGTGTGTGTGGAGGGAGTTTGGATTAAATTGTTTTGACAGGCAAGCCTCTACCACCCAGACAGCTGCCCTCTAACAAAGTGCTGCAGTGGTTTATCACCTCCCATGCAGAATCGCCTTCATCCACCCAACACTGCTACCTAACACGACAAACATGCACCCGCTCATAGACGACATAGGTCGCTAGCAGCGGGTAGGAATGACAAAATTAGTAACAACAATATTGATATGTCCTGATTAGGGCTGCAGCTAATGACTATTTTCTGTCATCAGTAAACTGTCTGTTTTTTAATGAATATTTAAAGATTTGGATTTGGGCTGAACAATTAATTGAAATATTATCAAAGCTGCAAAATGGACAAGTGTAATATCCCAAATGCAGGGGCTGAATTTTTGTGATAAAGGTAAAATGTGTCACAGCACACCATTTTAAATGAGTGGTGCTACAGAGATGCGTCCACTTAACCTAAATTATATTCTCCAGATTTAAGCCAGAATGCCTGTTTGGGACAGACGGCGGGAAAACAGACAAACAAAAAAAACACACATCATCATTCATATATATTTTTTCAGTGGAAAAGAAACACAAAATTGCCATTCCTACTAAAACTGCAACTAATATCACAATTGCAATATCGAGCAAAATAATGGATAGAGAAAATTCAACCATTCATCAAAAATAAAACGTTTGCACTGACCAGACTCTGAAAAAAACAAAAACAAACAAAAAACAAAACAGAAAGTTGTGCGCTCCTAAATGCAACAGGAAAGTGACTCAGGTGCACTTGACATAAATTTAGGCCCTTCACAGCTACATTGAGATGAAATGTCAGCTGTGTTTACACAGAACAACTATTACAATTAATTAAAAATGGAAGTAGCAAAATAGCTGTAGCATGTAGAGCCACCATTTTTTCCAGTGTTGGAAGCACCTGTGGGTACTTAGAAAATGTTGCACAGATTTTTTTTTGATATTTTTGTAAAATAAATAATCAAAGTCATTTATCTTTTGTTTTTTTTCTTACTCATGATTCATGGCGTTATAATTTATTCATACTACATTAAAGATATTTTTGAGTTCTCGTTCCTTTTAGCCATGGTTGTGGTGTTTCCACAGAGGCACAGGATTTAATAATGCAGTGAAAAATGAGCGCACAACGAGGAAAAAAACATCCAGAAAAAGCTTGGGGTTCAAACTGCTTGGAATCATTGTTTTTACTTTGGGTCAATGCTAATTTCATAATAATTCACAACCACGGAGTGGACCAGAGACTTAAGACACTGACTAGCTGTAAAGGAATAACAAGCAAAAATGTACTTAAGGTTATGTCATTGTGTTCATTCATTTCCACTTTACTAAAATTGTGTCACTATGTAAAAACGGACAACAATTCCTGCATCACATATCTGTTGTGAGTGTCAACACCTGAATTACAGATAAGAGTACAAGCTTTAACCTCAAAGTCCAGATTTATTTTCAGCGAGTGTCACTGTTGAAATGTATACACTATACACCCGAGCACCACCCTTATTTGCAAAGGCTGCTGCTCAACAGGAAGCGGAGCAGGAAAAGGTCTGCATCACTATCAAACAGTGGCCTAAAGTGGCGTCAATGTCACTATGCATAATAAAGCTCGCTCACTAATAGAGCTGAAATGTTTAATTAATTGCTAAGAGGATGTGTTTGCAGATTTTAGTTCCTTCGCTACAAATCATGTATACTTTCTACAGGTACTGGCCATTTTCTAGATAGCACTTTTCCTATAGTTCCAGGTGCACTGTCTTCCATTTATGTCAGTTCTAATATCCAAATTAACTGGAAGACTGAAAACTCACTGTGTACATTACAGCCAGATTAGTTCTTAATGTGGCTGTATCATTTTGTAGCAATGAGCCTGAAGCAAAAAGTAATTAAAAGCAACAATATAACTGATGAAACTGAACACAGACAGTGGCGCATTTATCTGTACAGAATATCTACCACTATCTTCTCTAAAGAATAAACTGAAGACATTTTTGTTTAGTCTAGCATTTAATTAGCAGCGATTCAGTTGTGTGCGCTTCGCTTGTATTTGGGTCATAACTTAGAACACGGACATGCAAGAAACCGAGTTTTACAGCTTTAACACAAACTTAAAGCATTCTTCTTGGAAAAAGGCTGATAGATGCAGATGAAAGTTGTATGAATACAGTTGGGTAACAAATTAAAGGGAAAGCCTGAACTCTTCACCCCTACAGTAGGGAGATCTGGTGGCTCTGTTATTCTGTGCTGTGGGGGACGATTTGCTCGCATGGTTTGGGTTCACTTGTTATGTTAGAGGGACGACTTCTGTTAATCAATCCAAAGTTGTTCTGAGTGGTCAGTTTCATCCTCTGGTTAAACAGGACTATGCCAATGGGAGTGGTCTCTTCCAGGATGACGATGCTCCCTTTCGTAGGCTACAAGGGGTCACTGAATGGTTTGACGAGTAAGAAAATGATGGAAATCATCAAAAAACATCTTTTGGATAAATGGTGTTCACCTTTCCAGTAGAGTTTAAAAACCTTGGAAAATCAATGCCAAGGTGCACTGAAGACACTCATATTGTTTTTTCCTTTAATTTGTCACCCATCTTTAGAAGGACATGCATTTTTAGAATGTTTGCCATGGACTGACTAGTCATTAGCAAGCAAAAACACCAAGCACGTCCTTGGTAAAACGTATATTTTGGAGTTTTGCATTGGAACAAATGAGGGCTGGAAATTTTTATATACATTTTCTGACAAATGTTGCAATTTGATCTGCAATAAACGTGTTTAAAGTCAAGCTCCAGTATAATACTCAGTGTGTAATAAGACTTAAAACACAATGCATTACCACATGAGACACCATCAACACTGTGACTGTCACACAAGCAGAACAACGTCAGTTTGTAAAACCATCAGTTCCAAGGTTCAGAGCCTGGGTCAGTCGTATAGCAAAGCTTAAAAGGTGAGGCCATTAAAAAAGGAGAAACAGTCAGAGAAGTATGTTTTTGGGGAATACATCCTCAATAAAGGCCCCCTGCACCATGGCTGCTGCTAACCGTGCATATTCTGTAAATCTGTTGACAAAGAGCCCCAGAGAGCAGGTAGGGTTGGACATGTTGATTAATCTCTATATCCTAAATTGCAGCCTTTGAGATTTCCGAATTGCAATGTTTCAACTTTTGATTTGGAATCGACTGTTTATCCCTAAAGCAGACTGACAAATATAACTGAACTGTTTACTGACTGTTATACTTTGACATTTGTATTCTTCAAATCAGGTTTTCCTGCCCACTGAATTTAGGCTTTCCAAGCATTAAATAAAGCACATTAACTTTTAAAGTTAAGGTTTCCAAGCAAAACTGTTTCTTGTCTCAAGGTTTCCTAAAGTGTTTTTTTCTCAGTGATGTAAAGGAACAAGTTGTGTGTGCCTCAGTCGAGTCCATAGACAAAGGCACTTGTTAGCTGGTTTGGACTTTTAAATAGCATTTCCTTTGCAGCAGAAGTATATTTGCATTCAGCATCTGAAACAGCAGTTTCAAATAGAACGGAGCTGTCATGAAGCAAAGTGTTTTCATCGAGTATCCTTGAAGTCGCCAGGAGGAGGGGAAGACTTTTAATCAAAGTTAGAGGGAATCTCCTTTGCTTCAGTCTTTATTTCATGACTGGATTTTTGTTGTAGTAATAAGCTCAGGTAGGACAACCTTTGCACTTCAATGTTAAGGCTAAACACGGCTCCTGATTCATAGACATCCAGGTAAAATCAGTTGTTTGCTGCAGTTCTTGAATACAATATACTGTGCAAAACACAACTACTTTCAGTCAGGACAGATGTATTTATGCTGCTTAAACAATCCACAGGGCAAGACACAATAAACCTCCCCTATTGCCTCCAAAGGTCACTTCAGACACGCAGCAGCAGCCTAACGACAAACAGTGAACCTTTGAACAAGTCATTTAAGTTTCATTTAACTTTCAATTCCCCCTCTAACAAATGAGTGGGCAGACGAGCAGCTGCACGAATGAAAGGAGGACAGGAAGGAGGCAGGTTTGACAGGAAGGGACCGTCCCTCCTCAGGTGAGCCTCTCCGGACTTCACTCTGGACGGTAGTTGCGGTTCAGACTACGGGGGAGGGACCCGCGGGAAGCCGACACGGGGGGGACCGTTGGCCAGAAAACCGCTCCGTACCGGCGGTTTACACCAATAAATCCCGTCCAGTTTCCTCCGCGGTCCCTCCACTGTACTAGCAGCTAGTTAAATCTGGGCACCAAGTTCAGTCAAGGGCTGTCAACTTCCCTCCCGCAGCTCCAGCACGGACAGGCTAGGAGACGCGGTGAGGAGCGGGTTTACGTTTGTTTTCTTTTTTTAATTTTAAATTTCCCCTTTTCTATTTGGTAACGGACACGAACACCCTCCGCCGGAATGTCACAGAGCCCCGTTTCAGTTTAAACACAGAGCAGGTTCATTGGACTCACCAGCAACACGAACATTTTCGCCTCTCTCATCCGACTCCCGTAGCGGTTCCAAGAGGCCATGATGCCGTTGCCACGTCTGGATACGCAGGCGCACTAGGCTTTCCACGGATTCTCCGGCGCGGCGCAAAGCTTCCTGGGAAACGTAGTTCTTCAAAGGAAGTCATCGCTGTAGACATCGCACCTGCAACCTCCAGCCAGTCAAAACATTCTTTCCCCTCCGTGTTATCTGAGCAACGGTGCGAGGAAGTACTACAGTCTACATGATTTTGTTTTTATCAGCATAATGCAGCCATATTGCACGACAATTAATTACACCAGAGGGTAATTAGTAAATTGGCTTGTGATTGAATGGCTCTTAATTAGCTGTTTATCAATTCGACTTCCTTTCGTCTGGGAAACTTGGCTTGATGAAATGTGCTCCTCAGCATCTGATTTAGGCAGCGAGTGGTCCAATAAGCCCAGACAAAGTAAATGCAAAGAAACAAATGCAATACGTACGGATAGAATTGAAAAAATAATATTGAATAGAATGTTTAATAAGAATGTTGTTTGTGCTGTAGCAAGAGGATGTATTCCAACGTTAGATGAGAAGTTATAGGCTAATTTAAATTCCTGTTTAAAGCCAGTGTAGGCACTAGAATAGATAGGGAACAGTAACATAACCTTTATCTATTTTTTTCAATTCAGTTTCAGGTGTAGTTTCACTAAATCACACCTACAGAACATACATGAACAGGAGATTGTCTGAATGGACTTTAGTTTTTGCTGATATCATTCACACTGCCAGTTTAGCAAAGCACAGCACAGCACTGAATAGCATAGAATTGAATGGGGGAACAGTCAGTTTGCCGAACCTAGAGAAAAGAAAGAAGCATAAATGTTGTTTTTTTTTATCTTCTTCGTGTTAAAGGAATCACACCAGTCACTGATAGAATAGAACAGAATACAATGGAATAGAATAGAATAGAATAGAATGTTTGCACTATATCAAGCTACATAGTCCATAATGATGCTGTGTTATGTGCAAGGAGAAGCAAGACTTTAAACCATGCTGAAATGCTTCACCAATAAAGTCAACTAGAGAATAGATTAGAATCTATCAGGTTCAGTTGGAGGCAACAATATCAAACTGGAATAAAGAAGTAAAGAAACAGAATTAAGTAATAGAAAAGTAAATTCACTTAAATTAACCTCTTTTTTTTTTTAATTCCCTTCTGGGATAAATAAAGTATTTTTTTTTCATTTCATGTCATTTCATTCATTTTTCAGTTAGGCCTGACATAAAGAAAGAAAGAAAAAACGCCTGTTGAAGTCCTTCCCCAATGTGATCACCTAGAATACAACAAAATACAACAGAATCTGTCTGATTCAGTTGTACACTACTATGCCAACTCAGGTTGAAAGAAAGAAAGAAAGAAATCCTTAGGAGATTTTCTGTATAGAATAGAATAGAATAGAATAGAATAGAATAGAATAGAATAGAATAACTTTGGCTCAGAGTGTAACCGTGGCGTGTGTTCACTGTTTGAGCTTCACTGTTTACTTTACACCAACCAACAAAGCAGAAAAACACTGAAATGCCCGGTGGAGTTATTGCCAGGTTACCCCTCTGCACACACACACACACACACACACACACACACACACACACACACACATACACATATACACATCGGGCCCTTGTGGCGTCCCAGACCACAACATGCGGAGCAAACCTTTCCCAGAAGTCTCTCTGTGACTCTCTCAGGTCCGCGCCGTGATTCGCACTGGCTGTCTCTGCTCTGGACGGACGCGCAGTTGCGACACTCCTCCGACTCTCTCCGGGGTGTCCGTGCGCACTTCCTGCCGATTGCGCTTGCAAAATCGGCCCCCATCTTCCTCCCCCCCACCCCTCTCCTCGCTCCCACCCCCCCACCTCGATCCGGTGGTATCGTCCGACGGTGAGGGAGAGCGAGCGCAGTTGTCGGCTGCAGGTCGCTTGGAGAGGAACGCGCAGCGGCTGAGGAAACACTAGAACCCGTCTGTAGTCTGCCTGCACTGCTTTAAGTGCGAGTCTTATTCTCTTCTTATCGCTACCTGGCATTTTCATCAACTTGGAGGAATACAAACATCTTCGAAGGTAAAAGAAAAATCACTTTTCTCCTGCTTTTCTTCTTGCAAAAATACCTGGAATGACTAATACAAAGCACTTTTTGGGTGTGTTGTGCACCAGTTTCCAGCTCGTATCCCGCTTCAGATTTGCTGTTATGAGCGAAATGGACGTAGTTTGTGATTTTCTTTCATACTGTGGACAATTTGCCTTGGTTTGGGTTAAGTAACCTGCTTAGATAAAATAAATAATTAAAGAAAAACACCCTCCATCACTAATAGATGGGCTACTCGAAAGCTTTATTCAGCCATGCTGTGGGCTCCGTTTCTCTCTGGACCGTTTTTCAGGGTTTTGAGCAATGTGGCGTCTTTTCGTTTTAAAAGTCAAACACTTTTCAGACCCCGTTTTGCCCACTTTAACCTGCTTGAGGGCGAGTGTGATTTTGTCCGTTGATATAGCGTGTTTTTCAGCTCCTTTATGCCTCGCCAGTTTTACTTTCCACTCACGTTTCATCCCAGGATCAGAGGCGCATTTGTGGGCTGCAGGAGCTGCCTGTGCCTGCCACATTAGCACCGTCTCAAACTTACTTTGTGCTGCTCTGTAGTCCAGATACTGTCGAGATGTGGAGTTTATCTTGAAAAACAATCTTCAGGGGGAAACTTCACTGATGTGGTGTTTGACGGACAGTGCTTTGTTTAAGTGTGGTGCGCCACAATTGCATGTTTTGTTTTCCAAATTGTTGTAACCTAATTTAGGACGCAAACATGTGGTGCAAACTCGACGATCTTGTTGTCCTTTTTTCAACTCTGCAAGTTAATTTAGTTGTCCGACTTCAGATAGCAAATAATCAGCGCTTTCCTTATCACTTCCAATTAACAGATTAACAGCTTTTACGCGCGGTATGTGCAGCTTTACGCACAACATTACGAGCGTTCTTTTATTCTCTCCAAACCCCCAGCAAACGTTTGCGCTATGAATTCTGCTTGAAAACACTCAAAATTAGCTCAGAAAGTCATTATTCATGAGCTTGGATAAATTGCTTCTCCATTTCTCCCCCGATACAGCCACTCCAGATTTGCTTTATTCTAAATTCTCAAGAGGGATGAGTGTTCAGCAGGAAGCTCTCCAAACTGTCGAACAAAGAAATGCTGCATTATAAAATAGGACATTTTCCTTCTTGCTTGTGTTTAAGTTGATTATTCCAGAAATGGTGTTGTTAGAGCGGGAAGCTGGCTGTGCTGCTGCAAGGCAACAGAGGGCAGTGTTGAGCAGCACTTGCACAGCTGTGATAACACCTCGCCAGGTGAAGTTTGCTGCATCATGTGCTGGATCTGCTGTGGAGAGCGAGAGCAGAAGACAGTGCTGCAGACGAGCTTCTTGCCTGTGCGCAAAAGTGCAGCACTCATTCAAGTTTGGACACATGAAAATAATACAAGAACGTCCCTTTAATGTATTATTTCTCTCCCCCCCACTCCTCCTTGTTTCAGGTTATTAAATGTCAAGCACTTTTGAACAAGCTTTTATCTGCAGGCGGTTTGCTGGAAACAGCTTTCAGAGAATTTTAGCCCATAGCTGCCAATTTTCAAGGCTTAAAATATTACATTCACTTGACTAAATTAATCAAACAAGTTATTCACTTGAAAGCTATTCTCCACCACTGTTAACCCCTCAACACTGGGCTTTTAGAAGCTGTTTTAGAACTACACTCTTTATTCTTTTTTTTTACTGAGCCTCTGTGTCTTCAACATCATCAATTAATGTATTATTCATTAACACTCAAATGGCTCTCAAATGCAACTGAGTGTGGCTGCTGTAAGTTTATAAAAAGGTATCAGATGACATCATAAGTTTATGTTGGAGTTCGGCTGTTTTAAGCCACTTTGTCTGTCTTTGAAATGCCACAGACGTAAAATCTGTAATATCATTTGATAGCTAGTGATCCGAAAAAGAAATATTCACATTGTTAATTTCTCATTTCTCTCTCCATAGCCTGCACAGCACCGTAATCTTGTTTTTTTTTCAGCCTATTCTTCACTTGTTGGCATAACTCTTGTTTTCTTATTTTCGTCATCCATCAACACGTGTTAAAGTGCCATGTCTCCCCCCATCGTTTGATTGATATTCATATATTCTTGCAGGTTTTGTCAGGCCCACATGCGTGTCTTATGGATGATTAACGCTTTTGTTACTTGAAGAGCTGTTTTAGTATCCTGGGTCAGTCCTTTCAAATGGAAAACAGGTTTTCATCTTTGATGAACTTATGAGGGCTCTTGACAGGTCCTGGTGAGGAGGGAACCAGACCAGCAGAGCAAAAGAGATTTGAAACAAAACAACACAAAACAAAAAAAACTGGACGCAACCCCCACCTTCCCCGAATCCCCTCAGACCACCTCTACTTTTCCTCTATGTTCTGCTTCTCCTTGTAGTTACAGTGTGTGAAAGTATTTTGCTTTCAATGATGTGCAGAGGTCAGTATCTTCATGTCATCTGATGTCGACATGAATTATTCATTTCTGTTAACAAATATGATCAGTGTGGAATAGATGAACCAGGGGCCTCTTCATCAAAGTTTTAATGATGCATATTTAAACTGTGCCATGCGAATTGTTTCTGTTGTCGGGCATCATTTGAGAGGGGACAAGCGGATATGAAAGTTTAATGTTTGGAGAACTCGATCTGTCCTCTCCTCCATCTGATATTACCTCTCTAAGCAAAGGGTGGCATGTCCAATATGGTCTGACCTCCACAAGTGTGTTGCTGTGGCTGTCTAAAGAGATAACACACACAAACAGATAAGAAGCATGATTCAGGCTGGTCTGATGTCACGCTCTTCATGCAGTTACCCTTCACCTAGTCTGGTTCTATAGAGCCGGGAAAGAACTTTGAAGGAAAAAAATAATGCTTTTGCCATTGTTGACAGAGTGTTTTGTCATTTCAAGGTGCAGCTTTTTCACCGACCGAAATCCGCTGCAGAAAGTGGAAACTGACAGTTTTGACGGCGTGATGTTTCCACTGTTAGTCCCTCATTCAGCTTTTTGACTTTTCATGCATGTCAGACAAGCTCTCCAGGACATCTGTTGCCGCTCATCTGAACCATATCTGTTTTTTTGAGCCCTAACTTGCAACAAAATAGCATTTTGACACTTTAAAAACCCATTAAGGGATGCTCAAACTGCTGCGAGGTAGTGAGTGTCTAGCTGAGGCGTGCCCCGCCGGACTGTTGATCTTGATTTTGCTCCCCTTTCCACAAAGCCCGAGCTTGGTATGTGAGAGTGAAGCAGAGAGATTTCAGACTTTTAAAGTGGCCTTCTTGAGCAGGATTCACATGGTAATTAGGTCAGGGCGCGCTGAGGAAAAACAAAGCTGTCCACATGCAGAGAGAGCAGAAAACATACTGCGTTTTTGTGGAGATGTTTCAAGGAGAGCGAAGACACATGCGGAAAAAGATGCTTCCTTAAAGTGGCTCTGCGTATATTCCGAATGCTGCAGCCACGTCAGAGTGTCTGTTGCTCTGTTATGTAAATACAATGCCCGATTTGAAATCACAGCTCTGGGCGCTGTGACTTGAGGTGGCAGCCCTCGCCTCCATCTTCACTGTGGTCTTTATAGTGAGAATACAAAGCTGCGCAGCCTCGTCACCTGAATGTGATTATGCTGTCCCACGGTGCTGGCATAAATGTTGCCATTTGCGAAGCCTGATTGAGGTCCTGTGCCTGAGTACACCTCATTTTACTTGAAATGAAAACATTCCTTAGCTGTTTGACAACTTGTGCACAAACATTTAAATGTAGGTTGCGGCTTGATTCCTTTTTTTGTTGCCTTCTGTGGCCAATTTTACTGTCAGGAACAAACTGTAGCTTGACAAATACACTTTGGCTCACCACAACAGCACCCTGATGAGAATCTGCCTTTGGTTTTAGTTCAGTCTTTTTTTTTTTTTTTTGCTAATGACAGACTGGGTTTGAGGGAGAATGTGCACTTGTGATAACCAGACAGTTTGAGCCGTCAGCAGAGGAAGGCTAGCAGTCTGTGGGTGGAAATGAATAATTCCACAATGTCTGTCTGGGTCCCCTCAGCCTCCCAGGATCTCATTGTTTCTGAATGCAGAGTGCACTTGGTGTGGCCTTCACTCCCTGTGTCTGTCTGCTTGTAACCTGGCCTTTCTCTGCCTCGACACACATCCTCGCTGTCTGTGAAATCTGATACGGCTGCAGCGTCTCTGCGCTCCGTCTGCAACCCTGCTAATAAACGCTTGATGCGACCCAACAGTCTCAATTTGTGTCTGGAACGTTATCAGCGTTGTTTACCCTCCACTTCCCTGTGTTGTTGTTGTTGCTGCATTTTTACAGAAGAGTGGAAATAGCAAACAGAGTGTCAAGAAGAATGATTTTGAGAGAAATTATTTAGCCTCAAAATGATGATTTGATTAATCAATTAGTTGGTTATGTTAGGATTTGCAGCTTTTGATTCAAAAATTAAATATCAGTGGTTTTCTAGTTGGACTTTGCAATTTGAAGATTGTCACTTTGGTCACGAAGAACTTATTCACTTACCAAAAAACAAGCAGGCGACAGATTCATCTGTAATGAAAATAATGATTTGTGGCAGCTCTGCTAATTGCTAAACTTGCACCAGCTGCTTGAAAATCATCTTGAGAGGAAACAGTGTTTCTAATTTGAAGGACGGCTTTTAAACTGAAGGTGCTTTCTTTACAACGTGAAACTATTCAGTGATTTGTGTCTTTTCACACGTTCCCATTGTTATCCCTCTCGGTGCTGGATGAGGTGTGTGAGTGTGTGTGTGTGTGTGTGTGTGTGTGTGTGTATTGTGTGCAAGCATGCGCTCATACAGGCATGTGCGCATGCGTGCATGTCTGAGCAATTTGATTTTTCTCTTTGTGTGCATGCGAAGCGGACGTGAAGGCATGTGCCTTTTCTCTCCCATCCCTCCTCTGTTCAGCCCCGGCAAGGTCTGAGCAGGGCGAGAATAAAAGGGGAGCGAGAGGAGGAGAAAGTACTCCCACAGTTGAT